TTTCAATGCCACCTTAGTCAGGTTTTGTTATGGAGTTATGCTGGCTAGTTTTATAAAAAGAGTAAGTTAAATAGCATTGGATCATGAACTAGATATATACCCTAGAGAAACGAGCTGTGACACCAACAGATACATGCACACCCATGTTCGTCGTAGTACTATTCACAACAGCAAAAAAAAAAAATGGGAACAAACTAAATGCCCATCAGCAGAGGAATGGACCAGCAAACTATGCTGCATACACACAACAGAAGACTATGCAACGTTGAAGAACAATGCATTTGTGAAACATGTCACAACACGGGCGAACTTAGCAGCCATATGCTGAGTGAAATCAGTCTATATCACAAAGGGACAAATACTGTATGAGACCAGTATCGTAAAACATCAAGAAAAGGGTCTAACAAAAAAAAAAAAGAAATATTCTTTGATGGTTATCAGGGGTGGTTGGGGAAGGGAGGGTAAACCACTAACTAGAGGGTGGACACGTGTTAGCTTGGGTGAAGGGAAAGGTAAAAAAAACAAAGTATTGGGATCATTGTGGCCCCATCAGTCTGTGTGTTACACTTTGTAATCTGGTGTCTGGCTGCCTCAGCTCCCCTCCGCTCTCACGCTGAGCCCCAGCCCTAGTGATGGAGTCCGCAAAGCTTCCTCCTCCGTCATTGCCAGCGGTCAGCGCTCCCCACTCCCAGGGCTGAGGGGGCAGATTCAGACTCTAGGGTTTGGAGGAAGCAGGGAGGCCCAGTTCTTCCCCAGCTCCACCTCAGAGCCCTCTCACGGCCGATTCTGCAATCACACTCCACTTTGGCCCCAGATAATGCCCTCTGAGCCTTTGCGGTACCTGATTCTCCTGGCCGGGAAGCAGCTCAGTCACCAACCATTTACTGAGCACACAGACAGGATTTCTACTCTTGTGAAGGTCACAGTGCCCTGGGGCTGGGCAGGGGATGTGAAGACCATCGGCAAACAAGTTAGTCAAACCCACAGTATGGCAGATGGTGATCAGAGTGCTGTGGTAGCTTCACAGCATGTCGGTATTAACAGGTCAAGCCCATGTCCGCCTCTCCCCTTCCCCTTCTGGGTTCTTTTTTAGAATTGCGTTTGCTAAATTTTTGTGCAACTACTCTCCCATGGAAATGTCATAAGCAACTTGTCAAGGTTTTTTTTTTTTTTTTTTTTTTATTATTGGTGGGATTTTGATTGGGATCATTTTGAATTTGTAGATTTGGGACAAATGAATATAACTGTTAGAGGAGCTCTGGTGCATAGGGGTGAGGCATATGGCTGCTAACCAGAAGGTTGGTGGTTTGAACCCACCCGCTGCTCTGTGGGAGGAAGATGAGGCAATCTACGTCTGTAAAGATTTACAGCCTTGGAAACCCAATGGGGGTTGCTATGAGTCAGAATCAATTTGATGGCTATGGGTTTGGGTTTAACATGACCATTTGTCCAGTTGTGGCATTTATCCTTTGAATTCAGGTTCAAGTTTTATCCATAGGGCCCTTTATGCCTTTTTGTCAGATGTATTCTGAGGTCTGTCATGGCCTGTGTTGCAGAATCTCTTTTGTATTGCGTTTTCTACTCAGCAATGACTGCTGTATAGACCGCTCATGGTTAGAGGCGTCCTTCTAGAACGTTGATCTGATGTCACTCTGTTCAGAGCTCTACCTGCTTCCCTTGACTGGCAGGGTCAAGACTGATGCCACGGCAGGCTCTTTGCCTCCCTCACTTTGCCAGTGGACCGGCCTGTGTCACCTCTGGGCCCGGCCCTCCCTGCCCCAGCAGACAGCTCTGCGTTCTCTTCCAGTGAGAAGTGACTCTCCATCTCCTATCAGGACCTAAGAGGAGAACAAGGCCCAGGGAGTTCTGTGTGGCCAGCCCTGGGCCCTAAAGCTGGAGGTCAGGACAACAGTGAGCACGCAGCTCTGATGGCCCTGCAGTGCCTGCCCTAACCATACCTCACCTGGCAGCACTCGCAGGAGGAGGAGGACTCACCGGGCCGGGCCAGGCGCCCCTCTTACCTGGGTCTAGTAATCCAGTTGCTTGGCAACCTGGGGGAACAGAAGGTACCCAGGTTGTCAAGCCACTGTGGACCTCTCCAGGCCGGCCTTCCCTTGTGGAGCGTGGTGGGTGGGTTGGCCTGGCTCAGGCGTCCCAGGTGCTGAGACAGGAGGGGGTGGCTGGTGGCCTCCATGTGGCTAAGACACTGCTTTTCCGGGGGAGGGGCATATCTAGGTCCCGGACCGGAGGCATCAGGGCAGGACCCGGCAGAGCACGGCCTGTCCGCTGGTTTTGAGCTGGGGTGCTGC